TTTTTGTTTTTTTTTTTCTTCCGGTACCGGCACTCGAACTCACGACCTTGTGCTTGCCAGGCAGGCGCTGTGCCGCTGAGCTAAATCCCCAGCCCCCTAGGTTAAATTCTTGAAAAAATATTTTCTTAATTATAAAATACGTTGTACCTGCAAAAGAGTAGGTATCATAAGTCAGGCACGTCTGTAATACCAGCTACCCAGGAGGCTGTGGGAAGAGGATCACTGGTTTAAGCCCAGTGTGGGCAATTTGGCAAGACCTTGACTCAGAATGAAATAAAATGGGCTGGGGACATAACTCAGTGAGATGTTCTGGGTTCAGTTCCCAGTACTGGGCAGAAATTTTACAACGGTCAGCTGTGTCAGGCTCGCAGTGTCACGTATCTCGTGTTTACCGCGTCTGGATTGCATGGCTTTCTCTTGTGCCACCGTCTGGGTTCGTTACGTGTATTCTATGATGTTAGCGCAACAGAGAAATGGCCTAATGACACACTTCTCAATGTGCAGCCCAGTTGTTATGTGACGCATAGGACTGTACACGAACCCAACAAATCTACTGTTTGTCTACTAAGCACCAGGCCTTGTTACTTCCTTTCACCTCATCGGAGTCCACACAGGCAGAGATGTGAGCTCCATCTCAAGGTAGGGAAAGGCCGGCTCAGACAGCAGAGCCAGGGTTTGACTGCAGGGCTGTGTAGTTACAGAGTGCGCATTCAGGCTGGGGACAGCGCTCAGGGGCAGAGCACATGGTAGCAATCTCCAGCATTCCCCCACACCCAAACAAACAGGCAAATCCAAGTGAGTGCTGCTACTGCAGGACACTGCCCTCATGTCAGGGGTGGGACCTGTCCCATCAGCACTGCTCATGGATTTTGAGGAAAGGGAATGTGGAGCAAGGCTGAGGTGGAGCCTAGGATCTGGGGAGAGAAAGACATCCCTGTCCCGGCTCCACTGAGCCTCTGGATCTTGGCAGATAAGGAAATCCTAATGGGAGGTTTCATTTTTCTGTTCCCAAGTGATGAAGGTCCAGGTGGAGTCACTAAAAAGACTTCTGTGTGATGCGGAAGAGTTCTCGGATGCAGGGGAAACAGGGAAGGCAGGCCACAGCCAGAAGGCTTGTTATCCCTTGGGGCCAAATGCCCCCCTCAACTAGAGATACTGGGGCTGCAGCCAAAAGCAGGAGAGGCCTGGCTCCCCCAAGAACTTTCTGAAGCTGAGGGCTGGCAGCCACAGGGAATTCTCGGCCCCGAGGCTGGGTTCGAGTAAACAGGCCCCATCCCTGCAAGGGCACAATGCAGTCACTGTCCACAGACAGACATTCCAGGGTGGAGGCGAAATTTCAGGGCCTCTGAGAACACGGCACTGACCGTTCCAGTCCCCACTCCAGCCTTCCTGGCCAGGACAATCCCACTCTTTCCCAGGGCGTGGGTTCTGGGGGCTGCATTTGCCCAGCGGCAGCAGAAGCTCTGCTGTTCCAGGGCGGGGCAGTGTGGGTATATTTAGCCCACGTTCACAAGACACACTTGGAAACAAACAGCCATTTTCTCAGCGGGCGGCAGCTGTGGATAAATAAACAGGATTGCAAAGCAGCCTGAAAAGCAGAGATAAGCCCCGACTGCTCCTCAGGTGGCTCTCTCTGATGTTGGGAGGCCTGGCTTGGGGTAGGGGGTAAGGTGTAAAGGTGGGGTGCAGAGAGGTCTCTTGAGGTCACAGAGGCTTTCAGGAGACACAGGCCCAAGGGATGGCCTGTATCCCCAGTTTGGTTTCTGTATGAAGCTGACTGCTGCTGTGGGTATCCATGTGGGGGTTTTGGGGGCTACTGGGAACAGGCACTAATGACCTCCACAGGACAGTCAGGGTCTCCCAGCCTGGAAGACCCCAGGAGCCAGCAAAGACAACCCACTTGCCCATTCTGCAATTTCCATAGCCTCAACTAGGAACCTGGGGCTCCGGATGCAGTTCCCAGGCAGGCCTGGGCCAGGACCACTTCTGAGGGCCTTCCCTAGCACCCTGAATCCTCAGTAGCCCAGGCCACACACATGAAAAAGGCCCACATATGCGTATCCACACCAGGTTGCTTCACACCCTTGTCTTTTGCTAACGCTGTGCCTTGTAACTGGTTACCTCTCCATGTCTGTCTTCCTCCATTAGCATATAGACTCCACCATCTCCCTCGTCCCTGCCCACTGCTCCTCCCAAGTCCAAGCTCAATGTCTCCTTTGCATTCCCCGAGTCCCTGGACCTTCACTTACACCGCACATATTTATCGAGCACCTGCTCTGCTCTGAGCCCAGCACTGAGGATCTGACAGTGGCATGGCTTTGGGGAGTTTACCTTTAGCCTATTTTAAATTTTTTTTTTAATTTTATAGAGGAAAAAAATAACAAAACAATGAAGACAAAAACAAAACAACACAAACACAACAAAAATGATACAGGATTTCAAAACAAAACAATAGGAATCAACAATGGTTGTTACACTACATTCAGCCTGTTCTTGCTGGCGGTCAGATCACCCCCAGCTGGGTGAGGCGAAAACCCTTGGAGACTGTGCTGATGTATGGCTCTCCACAGAGCCATAGCACACGAAGGGGTACACAGTAGAGCTGGGCTACTCAAATTCCGTGGGAAGGCAGTTAGGACAAAAATGTCTAAAAAGACTCCTTGGGGGAGATAATTTAAAACAAAAAAATCAAGAAATACTGTCCTAACGGGAAGCAGAACAGATTATACAAAAATCACAAGGTAACTGCAGAGGGGACAGGGTTTTGAGGAAAGTGAGTCAGGGAGAGGTGACCGTAAGTGCTTAGGGGACTGAGATGGCTGTGGTGGTCAGGAGGTTTGAGCCAAGACCTGAATGACAAGGATTAAGATATCCTGGCTAAGACAGGGCAGGTTCCAGCAGAAACAAGTGCAAAGACGCTGAGGTGGGCAGAAGAGGAAAGGTACTTCAGGCTGACGCCCCTTGCAGGTGTGCCAGTCTCTCATCTTGACCAGGCTGGAAACCCGGCCCACCTGGACAGCACAGACTCAGCTACATCTCTGCCCAGAGGCAGCCAACTGAACGAAGGTAGGGCCCCTGCAGCTACCTAGAGAAGCCCGGAGAATAGGCTGGCACAGTGCCCCAAGGGAAGGGGCCCGAGAGCCAGGCGAGAAGGAATTCTGCTTGGCTCATCGGTCTTCTAATTCCTTTCCTCTCCTCTCTAACCTCCCACACCCCAATGCTTTTTCCTTGCATGGTGACTTTGACCACGTTACTTCCCCTCTCTGGTCCACAGTGTAACATTAATGAGAAGGACAGCTGAGCTTTTCCCAACACTTGAATGTCTTCTTGTGCCACACACTGAGCTAAACCCTTCACCCTATTCCCCTAATTACATGGACAATCATTCTCCCTGGGGAGGTTATTATTTTACCCCGTTTCCCCCATTAGACTGTTTTTTTGTCACCTCTATCTCTAGAAGCTGGTTCCATACCTGCAACACAGCTATACAGTGGAAATGAGTTTATTGTGGATGAACAAATGAATGAATGCTTTCATTTCGTAACATTTCTCAAGCACCCCAATTCACAAATGGGACTACAGAAGCTCCAGATTTACGTGGGGTCACTATCTAGGCAGTGGCGCGACTGAGATTTGTCTGAGTTCTGGCATCCTTCTCATTCAGATGGCCCATCTTGTCCCATCAGTCTGTTATCTCTGCCCACAGAAAACCTGGCCTCCTTGGTGCAGTGGTGGCTTCCAATGACATTTCCTGTGCACTGGCCCCAAAGCACTCTTTATAGCCCCCTTTGTTCATCAGTGATCTCCAGGTGCTGTCAGTGGGTACCACTTGGAACGCATTACACGCTAATGGCCCCGCACCCCACACATGATCTGTGACCTGACTGATGCTCACACCAACAACACTCTGCTCAGTTTCTTTTTTTTTTTTTTGAGACAGGGTCTTGCAGCAATCCTCCTGCCTCAGCCTTCTGACTGTTGGGATTATAGGTGTACACCACCACACCCGGCACCTCTGCTCAGTTTCAAAAGCAAAGTACTTCTCCAAGCCTCCACAATGGGTGAGGAATATGTATTTTTCAGACTGAAAGAGATCCTCGTTCTGATCTCTGGCAAATGGAGGCTCAGAGATATCGAGAGTCCTGGCCACATCAGGAACATGAAGGAGCCAGTTTTATTTTATTTTTTGTGGTAACGGGAATCAGGAGCCAGTTTTAAATCTAAGAATGTTCAGCAGCAAGTCCCATACTCTGGGCCACAGCTGTGGCTCTGGGTCCCTGTGGGAGGTGAAGTAGCCTGAGGCCACCAGCTGAATGAGCCAGTTCGGGCCCAGCTGAGAGGAACTGGATGCCACAGGAAAGGATGTGACGAACACCAGGAGGGAAAGTGAAACCTTTCCGGCCAGGCCTCAGCAGGGACAAGCTTCTGTGCCAGACAGCTCTTCCTTCCTCTGGGGTGACTCCGAAGTTTGGGCCCACCACTTCCTTCCTCCTTGGTTATTTCAGGAAAGAGGTAGGTAGCAAAGAGGAAGGGGCTTCTGGCAGCAGGGAAAGTGTCACGGGTGGCTGTCAGGACTGTACCTCGTCCTGGCGTTGTCACTGGCCTGCACAGGCAGGTCCTGAGTCACTTGCAGAGTCACTTTCTGCTCCTGGCCTCAACTTCCCTGAGGGAGAAGCTGATAAATGCCTGCTGAGCAGACAAACAAGGCCTTGTTAGGAGATCCTGGGAGGCAGGGAGGGGGTTGGGGCAAAGGGAGAGGCCTTATCTCTCTCTGGGCAAGGGCTGCAGGCGAGGGTAAGAATGAGGTTTGTGGTTGGTATCCACTTCCCTTGGCTTTCCTGGAGGAGTTGTTGGCTTCCATGATGTGAGAGGAACAAGCCTTTCTTCTCTACCTAGGGACATAGCTAGATGTGGGCAATTTGGAGAGGCAGCTCATCGAGACGGTGCAGAGAGACAGGTGCCAGGTTGTGCTGGCAGAGACGCCTCAGTAGACGCCACAACAAGCTCTTTGATCTGGAAGCAGGAGCTTCTCCTGCCTCCACGTCAGAAGGCAGTGGTGTAAGGAGGAGGTTAAAGCACTTGGTGAAGCAAGGTCACCTTGGTGTTACTGGCTGAAGAGGGTAGGTACCCTGAGGGGTCCAAGAATCTTTGGAGGCACTGCTCTAGCACACTGCGTGCTCACCTTCCTCCAACTCTGCCTGTCAGCTGCCAGCCTCCCCTCCCCTGCCTCCTCCCCCACGGTCAGTTCTAAGAAGCCAGCCTGACAGATGTGCTCATTTCTCAGAACAGGAAGTGGTTGTGCCGAGAGGAGATAACACCTCCGCTGGGGAATCAAGAGCGCTATCCGGCCCTGCAGTGTGAGCGTCTCCCCAGCTGGCTCAGAACCTGGCGACCATTCAGAAAGGCATTCACTGGGGCAGAGTTGTTCAATGGGCCTCAAGATCTCTTGCTCTGGGTGCTGGTGACACAACAGCTGGTGTTTACTAGGTATGTGCTTTGAGTGGAAGAACACGCTCGCTCCTCATAGCAACCCATGGAGTAAGTGCTGTCCCTATACCTTATGTTACAGAGGAGGACACAGCAGACAGGTAAAGTCACCCCAATGTCACACCACATATCACTGGTGGAGCCCATCATTCCTGACTCCTGGGCAGCGGCCACCTGTTCTTGCACCCTTCCCTGCTCCAGCCCCAGCCCTCTCATTCCATCCCTGCTGCCCCTATCCCTTTACAGGTAGATGGCCACAGCCCTTCACTCTTCCGCCAGTGTCCAGGAAGGGAAGGACCGAGGTGAACCTTCAGAACTAAGTCAGACAAGGGTGACCTTTCAACACATCTATCTACATGACACTTGCCCTACACTGGGACTTCATACGTGGACTTCAAAAAGGTGGAGTGCCAGGCCCCACGGCAGGCCTGGTCCACTCCCGAGGGTCCACAGGCGTCTCTAGGTGTCTGCTGCCTATATACTTGTGATGGGAGCTCCCTCCTTCCTTTGGAGAAAACATTTGTCTTTTGGTGGTGCTCGGGATGGAACCCAGAACACACGCATGCTTAGCAAGGCAAGTGCTTCATCACCGAGCTACATCTTCAGCCCTTTAAAATTTTATTGAACAAAACAAATAAAATGAAATTTTATTTGCCAAGGCTGGCCTGGAACTTGTGATACTCCTGCCAAGCAGCTGGGATTACAGGAGTGCACCACCACACCAGTGAGCATTTTACCTTTGGACAGCCCCCAAACTGGAAAACTGTTCCCTGTTAGGGAGCTGAAACCTCATTCTCCTATCCCCCAACACAGGCTGGTTATGGTTCTGGTCCTTTCTCTGCCACTGCTCCTCCTGCAAGTCTGCCCCAAGAGCTGCCCAAGAAGGCAACAGAGTCAGGCAGAAGCACCTTGGCCAGCCCTGTCCTCTGAGCGTCAGTATCCTCCTCTGTGAAACAGATGTGTGATCTGGACGAGGACAAACTGACTTCTTATTGTTCTTCCAAGCCGGCTGCCAGAGCCATGTGTCTTGCAATAGACTAAGACATTCAGCTTTCAACTCATCTGTAAAATGGGATAAAAAATGACCTTATTTCAAGCTGGGTGTGGTGGCATACGCCTGTAATCCTGGCACTTGGGATGCTGAGGCTGAGGTAGGAGGATCACTGCGAGTTCAAGGCCAGCCTGAACTAGAGAGGAAGACCCTGTCTTAAAAAAAGGGACCTTATTTAAAAAAAATAGTAAAAGGATTCAGTAGTAACATGTGTAAAAGTACACAGTAAGCCAAGTAAATGCTGGCTATTACTACCATTCTTGCTGTGAGACCATGGCTTGGCTTGAGGCTTGAAGTCTTCCTTGGCCTGCAAGGCCTGTACGGTTTCCTCAGCTTCGCTGGGGGCCAGGCTGCTTTGCTGCTCATATGCCAGGTTCTGTAAGCTTCAGGGCCACTGCCCATACTGGTACCTCTGCTGAGCTCTTCCCTACTTATCATAGATCTCAACCCACAGGTCCCTTCTTCAAGGAGGCCAACTGGGCCCAGAGAAGGTGCTAAGAAGAAAAGCCAGCTGCCCCTCTCTCCATCCCTATCCTCACTACCTGGCCCAAGTATGAGGCCCCAAGACAGCAGGCGACTGGGCAAGGCAGCTGGCCTTTGGACGCCAAGCCCTCCATGGCTCCAGAAGAGGAGTGGAAATTTATGGGAAAGTTCCAGAAAATTCACTGACTACACTTTGCTGAGACAACCAGTGGGTGGCCTTTGATAGCAGCTACTAAAACTGGGGCCACCTCTCTCTAAACTGTCTCCTCCTGGGATCCTTGCCTCCCACTGTTCGAGGGCCCAAGCAGCTTCTCCTCCTCCTCTCTTCTGGAGCTGGGTGTTGTGATGGAGGAGCACTGGGCTGACGAGTTCCCCAGCTCCATCACTAGTGTGCGCAATCCCCTGCCGGGGACTGTCCCTCCCCGTGAGATGAAGGAAATCATCTCTCAGGGCTCCTGCTAGGGCGGCAGCACTCGGAGGAAGATAAAAGTAACTCAAGCACCAAGGACAAACATGGGAGCAACTACCTGGCTTCAGTCTCTCAGGGGATTCACAAGATGCAGAAATCAGCATGTAAGGTGAGAAGCAGCATTCCAGAGCACAAGGACTTGTTGCCACAGAAGCACTGATCCTTCTCCCCCTCATAGCCTGCGGAGCTTGCCCTCCGTCCCGCAGGAACCTGGGGGAAGAAGCCAACTCCCAGGCTGGTGAGTGGTCAGACTTCGCCAGGGCGGAGTCCCAGTGGCCTCAACCTCTTCACCCAGCACGGCCTCCTACTAGTCCAGACAAGTCCTGGGTATTTTCAGCCACCTTTATCTGATCGGAAATGTTTGGAATTCCAGAGAAAGCAACAGCTCTAGAGGAGTGGGGGTTGGGTGCAAATCGCTACAACACCCTTCCCTTCTCCCCTCCCTTCCCCCACTACATCCTAACACACACAGAGAGAGAGAGAGAGAGAGAGAGAGAGAGAGAGAGGGAGAGGGAGAGGGAGAGAGAGAAACCAAAACCTCAGGGCCGAGGCCTCTAGTCTGGCTGCATTTCTTCCAGTCCAGTTCCTTCAGTCCCTCCTTTTCCTCTCCACCCCAGTGAGCCCCTCCTCAGGGTACAGAACTTCAGGCGGCGCCTGTGATGGTGCTCAGAGGGAGGGTGTACTCTGCCTGCCGCTGCCCAACATGCACTACCCGGAGCATCAATAAATTACAGAGAATGTCATCACCACTACCACAACAGCCAGCACCTCCAGTTCCACACAGTGTGTCAGGTTTTAAAGCATCATAATCTATGGGTCACCGAGGTGTCCAGTTCTTCCCCTCCCTGAACATATGGGACACTGAGACCCAGACCCTCTGCACCCTGTGTTCTGGCTACAGTGAGAACAGCTGTGCCCACTTCACAGCTTCGCAGCAGGATTGAAGGGAGGTGCTCAATACACGTTAGCTGTTATTACTATTTTTTAATAACTAACAGTAAGCCGGGGCTATAGCTCAGCGGCACAAGAACCTGCCTGGCAAGCACAAGGCCCTGAGTTCCATTCCCAGTACCAAAAACCAAAAACCACAAAGCTAACAGTAAGTGACTCCATTTGTGCTTCTCACAGTGCCCCTTATTTATGGTATAAACATCAACAACAATAAAAAGCTAATATTTGCTGAGTTAATGTTTACAGCTTGATTCCCCAAAATCTTGCAAGTCATGTTTTCTCTATTTTGCCAGTGAGGAAACTAAGACTAAGAGAAGTCATGAGTCTTACTTAGTTCCCGGTTACTAGTGGGGTGTGTGGTTCTGCAGCATGTGAAATCGGCCCATGCCATGGAACAGACGAAGAGCAGCACTCCAAAGTCCTTTTCTCTGCCATCCCTCTCCCTGCCAGTGTTTACCAAGAATCTGCTGCTCCTGGGCACCGCCAAGAGCACTCAAGGGCACTGGAGGGGACCGAGCTGGGAAGCAGCTGCCTCGGTCCTTGAGTACCTGGTGGGGGGTTCCGATGGCTGCTCTGTGCCTAACGCTCTCCTCTGCAACTCAGCCCGAGAAGGCCAGTAGCTGTAGAGAGATTCCTCCCTCTCTCTGGTCACAATCTCAGAAACAAAAATGATGCCAACTGCTCTTGCAGCCTGTTAGCTGAGTTTCCTAAGTGCACATGGCCTCTCTGTAACCCCGGCTGGCCCTAGGATTTGCAGAGAGGTCCAGACAGGCTGCCCTGCTTAGCTTTGGACACCTGTTTATTCATTAACTCTTTATTAAGTGTCCACTAAGTGTCAGGCACAGTAATATGTGCTGAGGGTAAAGCCGGGGCCAAATTAAAATTCCCATTTGTGTGAGTTTATAACTAATGAGGAGTGATAGGTAATAAACCAATATGTCAGATTGTCGTAAGTGTTAAAAAGGAGAGTAAGTGTGAGAAGGGGAAAAGAGAAAGATGGAAGAGGGCAGGACTAGAATTTGTGGTCAGGGAAATACTGTGAGGATCTAGGAAAAAGCAGTGAGAGCAAGTGCAAAGGCCCTGTGGTAGGAATATGCTAGAGGTAATCCACACACAGGAAGGATGCAGTGTGCCGGAAACCAAGTTAATGGAACAGACCTGCAGTGATTAGGCCTGGAGGTAGCCAGGGACCAGATTTTGCAGGGCCTTGTATGCTACTGAAGGACTTGGGCTTGTCCTGTGGAAGCACTGTGGTGTTTCAAGTAGGGGAGGGACATATCTGACTTTAGGCTTAGCAAAGTCCCTCTGGCTACTGGGTGGAGACTCGGGGAAAAGCAAAAGCAAGAGCTCTGGTGAGGAGCTGACACAGTGTCCAAGAGAAATAGGACGGTGGGCAGCGTAGCCAGTGAGCAGCACTCAGATTCAGAGCCCACTGTGAAAAGTGGAGCTGAATGGGTGCCTGACGGACTGGATGGGGACCATGGAGCTGCTGCCTCTCTGGCCCTCTGCTTACAAGACACAAGAGAAGAGCCCTTGAGGAATTTTTTCCAGCACGGTAACTACAGGGACTTGGAAGAAGAAAGACACAGATCTATTTCTGCTGCTCTCATTGAGGCAAACATGGACAAGACCAAGAGCAGGTGGCTCAGGTGGGGAAGGGGTGCCGAGCTTTGTGTCAGGAGAGAGGGGGCACCACAGCTGTGTGTCCAGAAGGTGCTCAGTGGCTGGGCGACTGACTGACTGAATGAATGAATGAATATGCGAGGCCAGGACGTGTGCAGAACTTCTCAGGTCCGTCCACGTAATGGGTGAGTCTGGCACAAAGGACTCTTCCCCATCTTTCCTTTGCATCCTCAGGTTCCGGGCAGAGCCTCAAGTTCCCACTCTGCATGAGCAGGACTAGGAGGTCTGCACTGCTATAGCAGAATGTGAGTGCCAGGAGGAAGTCAGACCCATCTGCCGCCTCACCCACGACTCCCCCATCTCTATTTACTGGCTTTATCCATGTATGACCTGGTGTTTTTCTTTTTTTCTTTTTTTGTCTTTTTGAGACAGGGTCTTGCTATGCAGTTCAGGCTGGCCTTGAGCTCACTTTGTAGCCCAGGCTGGTCTCGAACTCACAGCGATCCTCCTGCCTCAGCCTCGTGAGTGCTGGGATTACAGGCATGCGCCACCACGCCTGGCATGACCTGGTGTTTTTCTTACCACAGACTTGCTTTTAAAAATTTAAATAAATGTATTAAAAATTCCTAATTTCAGCCCTTAATTGTCTCATTTTTTGGTATTGTTCTCCTTTTTAGTAAATAGTACCAGAACACAAAATCTTTAAGTCATCCTTAAACCCTTTCCTCTCACCTACACGTTCCCGTGGCCCTGTATTCAAAATTCACCCAGAACCCACCGCTCCCACCACCTCCACTGCTATCACCTGGTCCACGCCAGCATCTTCTCTTGCCAGTCTTCTAGCAGCCTCCTGCTGGGCTCCAGCTTCTCACCTACCTTACCACACAGCGCCAGAGAGGCTGGCACAGGTGGCAGTGTGTCTGCTCAAAGCCCTCACTGCCTGCCTGTCCACCCCATAAAGGAAGAGCCAGCGTCTTGGCAAGGCTCCTCCCCTCCCTGTTTAGCTGTGTTTGTCGCTGTGCTCTCTTCAACAGGCCCAGCATCCATCCATCTCAACAGGCCCAGCATCCATCCATCTCACCCTGGCCCTCGGCACTTGCTTCTGGCCTGAAGCGTTCTTTCCACAGACTGTGTCAACGTCTGCTCCCCCAGTCTCCCCAGACCTCTGCTTCTGTGTACTCCTCAGAGGCCTTTCCTATCACCCTTCCACACAAACACCCAAGCTGCCAGCCCCCACCTGTCCTTCTGCACGCTCAGCACACACATCCCATGAGGCCAAAACTGTGCTCGGCATACAGCAGATTCTCAGAAAATATCTGGTAAATGAAGTGAAAAGGCAACTTATTACCACTACAAATAGAAAATTGGTATCATTTGCCATGCATGGAGACCAACATAAATATTTTGACTATTAAAAACTGTCTGTCAGGGGCTGGGGATTTAGCTCAGCAGCACAGCGCCTGCCTGGCAAGTGCAAGGTCGTGAGTTCGGTTCCCGGTACTGGAAAACAAACAAACAAACAAACAAACAAAAACCAAAAAAAAACCAAACAAACAAGTGTCTATCTGTATATCACTTGTAAATTTAGGGACGGAACCCAGGGCCTTGCAGCTGCACTCTGCCCTGAGCTGCATCCCAGCCCTGTCCTATAAGGTCTCAAAGATCAACACAACACATTCTGATCATGGGCCAGCGCTGTCACGGAGGAGGCACTGAGGCCCAGGGCAGAGGAAGCGCAGGCCAGTCAGCCAGCCAAAGTCCAGAGTGGCACCGGTCCCCCTGCCACACCTCGGAGCCCCGCCCCACACCTCAGAGTCCAGACAGAGACAGGTCCTGGGGAAGGTGTGCGAGCCTGCCTGAAGGGCCAGGAAAACCCTCCCCTGTGCCAGGCCCACAGCTGGCAGTTCTGCTGAAGAGAACAAAGGCCAGAGAGGAGTGCGCCAGGCTGCAAAGCCTCGTGAGGCTGCACTGTGGGGGACTGGCATGCACAAACCTGTAGGTGAGGTCCATGGAGACCAGACAGCTGAGAGCCGAAATGAAAACAGGATGGGTCCCAAAGGGCGGCAGCTTCAATCCCGTAAACACCAGACAGGCGTGGGTTTCAGGTGCACGTCTCAAGACCCAGCTGAGCCCAAGGGAGGGCACGACCACCCCAGTCGCCTCCGTCAGTGATGATGACTCTAGGCTAAGCAGAGCACCAATCTGGCCACTTGTCCCACAGGGCAGAGCCAGCTCCCATTCCCCATGTTCCAGGAGGCCCTTTCCACCACTCTGCAATGCCAGCCAGCTCTGCCTACCAAGGGCCCTTGGAGACTGAGGCCTTGTTAAGAAGGGACAATTCCATCCATGTGGGGCTCAGTCAGCATGGCTGCAGGTGCAGGAGTGAAGACAGAGCTGTTGTGCCACGCCAGCAAAACCTGGCCTGCATCTCCATGGTTGGCTGCATGAAAGAAAAATACCAGGGATTTCCGTTGGTGTTCACCAGATGCAGCTGGTTCAGGGCAGGCCTGGCCTTGTGAAGGCTGCAGGGAGAGGGGCTGGGGGTGATGTGCTGGTGGCACAGCTGGCCTCTGATGTATTTCTTGGTTTGGGAACTTCCTTAGATTTCAGAGATTATAATCTTTTTACCCAGGTCCTCCATTAAAGCTTTGCCTTTCTCTAGTATAGTATCCTTACTAAGAAAGAGAGGTGGGGGGGACTGAAGGGGGTGGGGCAGGAAGACAGAACAAGATTCATTTTGAAAAGAGCTCCCCAAACTGAACAGTTGTTCTTATTATAGACCACTAGCACCTGGAAGGAGGCTTTAGGTTTTCACAGAAAAAAGGCAAAGGCAACTGAGAAGTTCTGCACAGCACTATGAAAAGGATATGGGCCTTAAGGTCAGGAGACATGGGTTTTCTCCTGCTCTGTGGTACCTCTAAGTGGCTATGGTCATCTCAAACACCATGGACCCCGCTTTTCTTATCTCACAAGTAAGGAGGATAAACCAGATGCTGTCCAAAGCCTTCTCTGTAACTCCAAAGTCCTATGACCCTATCCCTGAGCCTTTCTCCCCCTCAGGGGAGCAGCAGAATGTAGATAAAAGGAGTAGTTTTAGTAGACAAGAGACTGAAGGGGTTTTGCTGTTTCTTATGTTTTGTTTCCCTGGTACTAGGGATTGAACTTAGGGCCTTCCAACTGATCCACATCCCAGGCCCTTTTTTATTTTGAGTCAGGGCCTCTAGTTAAGTTGCTAAATTTCCTAGACTGGGTTTCAACTTGTAATCCTCCTGCCTCAGCCTCCCAGCACACTAGGATTATAGGCATATGCCACTGCACCCAGATAAATGAATTTTAATCTTAGTACTGCCACTTCCTCCTCCTCTCCTCTTCTCTCCTCTGTGTGTGTGTGTGTGTGTGTGTGTGTGTGTGTGTTACTGGGAATGGAATCCAGGGCCTTATGTGTGCCAGGTAAGTGTTCTACCACTGAGCTACATCCCTAGCCCCTATCACTGCCATTTATTGTGTGACGCAAAGCAAGTTACTTCACCTCTGGGGGCAGGTCACTGTTTTCATGTATGAACCAGCCCTAAAAATACATTGAAAAAAGTACTCTAGGAAGACTTTGGTGATACGAAGTCTCCCTTGCATATTCAACAATCAGCATATCCCTGGCTTTTTGGAGGAAGGCTGCCTGGATAGCCTCTACTTTTACACTCCTGTCCTGGAGAATTAAGAGGCTCCAAGAGCTGTAACACAGGAACCAGAATAGCCTGTGGGTCCTCAGTTTCCTCCTGATGCCAAAAAAAATCACTGTTAAACCAGCACAGTGGTATACGTCTGCAATCCCAGCACTATGGGAAGCTGAGCTAGGTGAATCATAAGTTTGAGCTGAACCAGGGCAAGATGAGGTCTCAAAAAGAGTGGGCGTGCATGCGTGTGTGTGTGTGTGTGTGTGTGTGTGTGTGTGTGTGTGTGTGTAGTGTAGTGTAGTTCAGTGGGAAAGCCCTGGGTTCAATTCCCAACTACTGCTCTCCCACAAAAAAAAAACCAAAAACACAGTTAGCCCATCTTGGTGGTACCCTACAATCCCAGCACTTAAGAGGCTGAGGCAGGAGGATTATGAGCTCAAGGTCAGACTGAGCTACATAGCAAGTTCAAGGCCAGCTTGGACTACATAGTTAAGATTCTGTCTCAAAAACAAAACACAGGGGCTGGGGATATAGCTCAGTGGCATAAGACTTGCTTGGCAAGCGCAAGGTCGTGAGTTCAATACCTGGTACCGCCAAAAAAACAAAAACAAAAACAAAGGTAAACAAAACATAAATCACTGTTATTTAATAAATGTTTTATATATGCCACTTTCATGTGCTTAAAATTCCTATTTTATAGGTGAGAAAGCAGAGGTTCAAAAAGGGGAATTCGCCTGCACAAGATCCTACAGATGCGAAGTGGAGGGGGCAGGGCTCCAGCCCAGGCGTGTCTGATGGCACAGCCTGAGTTCTTCCCACTCTAGAAATGCGGACGCAGCATGGACAGTGGAAAGCACTGGGACTGAATGTCAGGAGACTTCGGTTCCCTCCAAGGTAAGAGGAAGACCCCCATCTACTTCACAGCATGGGCAGAGGGTCAGTGAGATCATGTATGGCCAAAAGAAGCACTAGATAAACTTCAGATCATCAATTATGATACTGCTTTGTGAACAAAACTGGGTTTGCCGACACTCAAGAACAGCATCAAAGGGGCGAGGTGTGATACCGTAGGGAAGTCACTGGGCCACTTCTCTGGCTTTCGTCCCGTCACACCTTGGCCCCTTTCTCTTGTTCATGTCTGGTCCATCCTTGCGGACTCCCTCTCCCTGCAATCTCCAAGGCAGCCAGCATGGTGACTGAGAGGCCACACAGTGGACCGGTTCCCCATCCCAACTCTTGTTCTGAGCAGCGCGATCCCAGCCTAGTCACTCTGTGGACTCGGCATCCACACATCGAGAAGATGGGGTACGGCCTAACCCCAGATGCTCAATACACGTTTCCCAGCAACTCTGGTTAAGTTTCGCTCTTTTCTCCTCTGAACTTCTCTAACCCCTGTCTCTTCCATGTACGCTGCTACCTCCAGTCCATAATTTAAGCTACTGAGAGCCAGGCCTATGCTTCCCACTTCTGTCCCCCTGGAGCAATGAGCTACTACTGACCAACGAGCCCCTGTTAGCAGGATTGGGAAATGGGTCCCTGAGGAGGCAGCATCAGTACAGCCATGTCTGACAGTCACCCAGCCATCCTCAGGCATCAGGTGCTGGCTCAGTCCTTGGTTTCCCCATGCTAAGCACCAGGGCCAGAGGTAGCAGGGCAAGTACAAGCACAGGTCTTCGTGAAAACCGTCAGTGTGAGGAACAGAAACCAGGACGGCTTTCAGGAAGAACATCAAACAATAAAGAAAAACGCAATTGCGCTTGGGGTCTGAAAGACTGGATTTGGATTGTCTTTGCAAC